CAGTGAGGAAATCAATACCCAGTTTCTGACAGAAGCCCTCCAGAATGGTCTGCGGGGCTGCTGGGATGGGCTTCTCTCACTGGGCAGCTTTATGATGGAAGCACCTGGAAAACCAGAGGGCACAGCAGAGGGAGCCCAGCTGAGACCACTGGGCTCATTGTGTCCTCATTCCTGCTTTGTGTGATCTCGAGTAAATGCCCTTAATCTAACACGACTGCTTTCTCATCTGTAAAATGCGAATAACAGTAAGAATAGGGTTGTACATATAGCGCTTAGCACAGCACCTGGAATGCAGTTAACGTGGAGCAAACATTAGCTATTATCACTGTCACTGACATTAACACCAGTTTTCACAGCCCTGGAGGCAGGACACTTATCAAGCTGCTTGAATCACTGTAAGCTGATTGAGTTGAACTGCCTTCCTAGGGTTACAACACACAGGCCCTCTGGTCAGTGTGCAGGGACATGAAGCAATATAGGAAATAAAGCTCCGGGTGAGCCCTGTCGTCGCAAAGCACAACTACTCCCTCTAGCCTGGTTTTTCATGAGGTCAGGGCCAGGCTGTGCCCCAAACTTGGAGTGTTGTCGGCTCACTGGGTGGAATCCTGTTGTAACAAAACCTACAAAAGGTTGGCCACGGTGCAGACAGTTTTCTTTGTTCACTTATAATATTAGACCCCATTTCCTGGCATCTGCTTTAGACAGGTGCTTTTGACACCATACTTCCAACCCAGTGAGATGCCTTGTAGACCCATTTGACAGATAAGGAAGTGAGGACTGACAGAGGATAAAGGATGTAGGCCACACAGCTGTTAACCGCGGGGCTGAGCTTGGCATCCCCCCCCTCCCTCTCTACACTGCTTCTCGGCCCTGGCCGGGCACCCAGGGACTGTGGATAGACGGGCAGAAGAGGAACCAGGCAAGGTAGAAGACCCCGGCTCTCTTCCTTCACATTCTCGGTGCATCCCTGGCACTTCTCAGAGCACCTGTCTGGATACTTTTAGGAATTATAGCCATCTGGAATCACAGACTCCCGGGTCCAAACCATTCAATCAGTGCTTGAGAATGGCCCACAGTGTTCCCCACCCATGCACACACACACACACACACACGCACACGGTGTGCTTGGGAGCTCCAGGACCTCCTGCACCAGCCCATCCTATCAGTGGGGGGACGATGGATAGAACACCTTCCCCTACTGTGAGCTTCTACCCATAACTCCCACCCATGAGTGCAAGCTGAGACCCCTTCCAATGCACCAGGAGTGGAAAGTGTGCTTTCTCCATGTGATACGCATGTCACACCATTGAATGGAGCAGCGGGGTCCCTAACACTCTGCTTCCTCTACTGCTGGAATCTGAGGCTCCCTTCCTGTTGCTCGGGGTACTTTAACACACTCTTTATGCAGGTCCCTCATAGCCATCCGCAGTCTGGGTTTCCCTTCATCCTTTCTCAAGCCTGCTGGAAGCAGAGTTCCCTGGGCAGGGGATTTCTCAGGAAGATGCCCCTTTCTTTTTCCTCTGGGCCCATTGGTGACTATAATGTCCGAGAGCTCCACCACCTTCACAGTTAGCTTCTATTTCAGGGAGTCTGGCCCTTGGTACCTGGAAATCTTTTCTCTGAATTCTGAGATGTCTGAGGACCTTGTCTGCCCGCCAGATTTCTCCTTTCCCCGTGGAGCTCCACAAATGGCTTAATGGTAGTAAGAGGGGCCAGAAACTCTGCCAGAGTCCTCTAGAGAGTTTCTTCGAGGCGACACACCCTGGGGTTCCTCCACATTGTGCTTTTGCAACAGGCAGTACCCTCCTTCCACCACCAGCCCAATACCCCACTTCATCCATCTTAGCAGCAGGCCGGTGAAGCAGGCGCACCCTCAGGGATAGAGCTCTTTAGTTCTGAGTCTCCCCCAGCCTAAGCCCAGTGTGCAGGAAAGAGCTTCCTGAGGAAATGTCTTGGCAAGAACTCAGTTCAGGCATGACCCACCATGTCAGGCGAAATGCTCTGGGCTGTAACCCAAACCTCGGTCAACTGGCTTAACATAAGGAAGCGGTAAGTTTAGCAGCTCCATAAGCACAGCTGGTGCCCCGTGTTGCTGCCATATCACTGGCCAGACTCCACGTACTGATTGTGCCCTTTGCCTTGACCCTCTCATCACGACAGAGCTGCCCATCCCGACACAGGTGCACCCAAAGAGGGGGAGCCCAGGCCATCTTCAGGCCCCTTGTTAAAAGTGAGGGATGCTTTCCCGGAAGTGCATCAGCACATGCCCCTTCCAGGCTGTTTGACCAGAATTGGGTGTCATGCTCATTCCTAAAACAAAGGCATTAAGAAGGGGAGGTTATAATCAGGACTGAGCTAAACAGACCTTGTCAACCAAGGCCTGGAAGGAGTTTATGTCTTCTGAGCAGGCAGGTGTCAGATACCCAAGAAAACCAGCTGCCGTGAGCAAGGAGGAAGCAAGGCATGCTGCAGGGCTGGCCAGAGTTTCCCAAGGAGCTCAGAGAGAACAGGCACCCGCAGGGCATGGAGCCACAGAGCTGCAGACCCCGGCGCCCAGCAACAACATCCGTGCGCTTCAGTGTGTGCCGCAGAGACCCAGGTACCAGCGTGTGGGAGAGGGGATGCACGGAGGCACGGGTGCCAAGAGCTGTGGAAAACTGGGAAATTTGGAGTTAATAAATGCAGTCTGCTATTAAACACAGTCAGCTGACCCAAGAAATAAATATGTCAAACCACACATTTTTAAACCTGATCTTAAAGATCCCATGAACACGGAAGGGGGGGAGAGATGAAGAATAAATGATGGTCTTTATGGAATATTATGAAATCTTGATCAAATTAATCAATCACATCAGAATAACTTTATTTTTTTATTTCTTTATCATAGTCAGTCTTTAATTCCCATCACCTATTTCCCCCACCCCCCCACCCACCTCCCTCTGGTAACCATCAATTTGTTCTCTATGGTTAAGAGTCCGTTTCTTGGTTTGTGTCTCCCTCTTTTTTTTTTCTTTTGCTCATTTGTTTTGTTTCTTAAATTCCACATATGAGCAAGATCACATCATACTTGCCTTTCTCTGACTGACTTATTTCACTTAATGTAATATGCTCTAGCTCCATCCATATCATTGCAAATGGCAAGATTTCACTCTTTTTAATGGCTGAGTAATACCACTGTGTATATATACCACATCTCCTTTATCCATTCCTTAGTGGATGGATCATCAGGGAGACACTTGGGCTGCATCCATAGGTTGACTATTGTAAATAATGCTGCTACAAACATAAGGGTGTGTTTATCCCTTTGAATTAGTGTTTTTGTATTTTGGGGCTAAATACCCAGTAGTGTGCTTTCTGAGTGACAGGGTAGTTCTATTCTTAATTTTTTTGAAAAACCTCCATGCTATTTTACAGAGTGGCTGCACCAGTTTGCATTCCCACCAACGTGCATCCTCACCACATCCTCACCAACACCTGTTGTTTCTTGTGTTTTTGATTTTAGCCATTCTGACAGGTGTAAGGTGATATCTCCTTGTGGTTTTGATTTGCACTTCCCTGATGATTAGTAATACTGAGCATCTTTTCAGGTGTCTGTTGACCATCTGGATGTCTTCTTTGGGAAGTATCTGTTCATGTCTTCTGCCCATTCTTAAATTGGAGTATTTGTTTTTAGGGTGTTGAGTTGTATCAGTTCTTTATATGTTTTAGGTACTAACCCTTTATCAGACATGGCATTTGCAAATATCTTCTCCTATTCAGTAGGTTATCTTTTAGTTTTGTTGATTATTTCCTTCACTGGGAACTTAGAATAATTTTAATAGAGAAAAATATCTATTCATTATATAAAGGTGTATGATCCTCACAAAGCAATAAACAAAACAGACTATGCCTGAGTTTTTCATTATTATTAGAATTTGGTTTGGGTTTTTTTTTTTTTTTTTTTTTACCTAATTTGGTTGTTTCGCTGTCTATCCCATTTGAGCACAAGGGTAATAAAAGATTTCAGAAAAATGCCTGGGAGAAACCTTAAAACTTGATATCATTCAATTCCTTACATCAGTGAGGAAACAGAATTAGTAAAAGCCCACACTGTCAACTTTTAAAGGCTGGGCTTCTTGGAGCTGCTCTCAGGACATACTTTGAGAGCCACCAATCCAGCCAAACCCTCCCATTTGTTTTCTGCAGAAGTTACTACGGCTTACTAATATCTTTGGGTTTCCCCAAGGTCACCCAGTTAATTATTGACATAGAAAGTCTGCTCCCAAAGAATCATAATTATTTCCCACATCACACATCAGGGATGCATGTCAGGGGTAAAGGAAGGTCCGTGTGTGGTGTTGGCCTGAGCTATAGGTATGTCTGGTCGAGTCTAAATCCAGGACAGACTGCAAAGCTTTCCACCTATATGCAGAAGAATAGAAGCTTGGAACTCATTTCAAAAAGCTGCTTCTGCTAGTGATTTAAAGACACATCTTTCTCTCCCACATACAGACCAACACGGACCTGTCACCTCTAGACACCAACTCTCCTAGAGCCAGTGGGCCTGAGGTCCAGGTGTGACTTCCTCAGAGCTGACCAGGAAGGGAGGGCCTGGGCTGGCCCCTCAGCTCTCTCCTCCTGCCCAGAAATGGTTAATTGCCAGCTCCAGGCTGCCTCCAGCCCAGCCCTAATTGGCCTGATCTCAAGCTGCTGGCCGTGCTGGAGCCTCAGCGGCTCCAGGCCAGGCTGGAGCTGCACGGAGCGGCAGGGGCATTCTTCCAAGGTAATGATTAAGCTAAGCGTCTGGCAAGGGCATAGGCAGCAGAGCCAGGAAGGTGAGCCCTATCCACACCTCAGCCAGGCTGTGGTGGCCAAGACTGGTTTGGAAAGGCAGGGCCCCAGGGCACAGGGACCCAGAGCCGACAGCCACAGCCTCCCCCTGCACACGGGCATCCAAGAGCATCTCAGGCCGGAGCCTCTGCTGCCTGCCCTACTGGGACTCTGCCCTCAACCCTGGCATCATGAAGCTGCAAATGTTCTGGACTGGTCTGGAATACACCTGCCGGCTCCTGGGCATCACCACGGCTGCAGGTAAGACCCCGCCTCCCAGCTGCAGTCCCCAGTGCACTGGGCACAGCAGACAAGGCTGTTCAAGGGGTGGGGGCCAGCCGGTTGGGGACAGATGGACACATCTGGCCACATCTGCCCTCACTTTTCTTCCTGATGCCTCCAGAAACATTGCTCAGCAGGGCAGCGGCAGGTGCAGTGGGGTCAGCCTGGGTGAAGGCGCCTGGTGCTGAGTCTCCCCTTGGCAAACCACCACTCATGTGACCTTGGGATCCCTCAGAATCCTCATCTGGAAAATGAGTAGAGAGGGTCTGCCTTACCTCCTTGAGGGCTGTCGTGAGGTGGAGGTGAGAGCTGAAGCTGAAGGTATGAAAGATCAGGCAAATGTGAGAATCGGATGCCTTGCTGTGTAGCAACAGAGACGGCCAGCAGCTCATCATGTTTTACCCAAACCGCAGCTCCGTTTCAAGGGACGAGAATTCCCAGCACTTGGGACAGGCCGAGTTCTAGCACTGGACGGGGAGGTCCTGGGCTTCCCTTGGCTCACTCCCACCCTGTGAACAGAAAGTCCTGAGAAAACCAGGCCCCCTCTCTGCGATCTGACCGCAAGAACACACCGTGGGTCTGGCGTAGAGGTGGTTCCCTGTGCTGGGCTCCTCTTCCTCACCCGCCTGATCACAGGGCTGCTCGACCCTCAGACAGAGAGAAGCAAAGCAGCCATGATCCTGAGTTCTGCCTGCTCCCTTCCCCAGTGCAGACTCCAACCTTTAGCCCCCCTCGCCCTCCACATGGTCAGGGTTCTTGGGCCTGTGTGAGAGATCACAGCTCTCAGCTCTAGGCTCCACTGTCCCTTGGGAACAAGGAAGAGACACACATTGCTTGCCAAGTCCTTCCTTGCATCCAGCATGAGTCTTGGCAATTAAGAAATGTCCCCCAGCTCGGACTCCAGCCATGCTGGTTCCAGCCCCTGCCCTGTCATTTGCTGATTTGTGACCTTGGGAGAGCCACCCAGCCCCTCTAGGATGGCACTTCCTGATCGGGACCTGCTGGCCAGGTGTTTTGGAGGATCGAAGATGTACAAACTGAGCAAAGCTCAGTGGAACTGAAGGCATAAACCTCTTGGGAGAAGACCGCATGACCGGTTCAGAGCTTGGTAGGGAGGCTGGCCGGCAGGCTCTTCTGGTTTTAGGTCCTCAGCACAAGAAGTCAGCTATGGGGGAAGGTCTAATGACCCTCCTCCTGTTGCAAGATGGAGCACCTGAGCCCAAATGGGGCAGCGACCTTGCCCAAGGTCACACTGCAGATCAGAGGGACTGTAGGTCTGGAGCCCAGGTGCCTCAACTTTTGAAAAGGCCAGGACTCTGGCCAAGGAACTCCCTGCTTCCCAGAGTAGGAAACCCTGCCCAGTGGACACCAGGAAGGGCCTGGAATTGCTCTGCTGAGGGCCCTGAGTAAAGGGGCTGATGGGGGAGCCCGTTCCAGCTTCCGCCAGAAGTACCTTGTCACCTACATGTAAGGCAATGACTGCCAAGGCCCACAACTTCCCACCCTGGGGAGAGGAAGGTAAACCTGAATAGGGTTTCTGTGTCTGGGGTTCAAGTCCTGGTTCACCCCTGTTGATCTTGAGCTCACCCCACTTTCCTCTGGCCCTCAGTTTCCAAATAGGCAAAATGTACCCTTCTCGGCTATCAGATAACTTGGTGATAGTTCCTGCTGCTACATTCTGCCCAGAGCTGAGGTCTGCCTCCTGTCAGGGAGCTGCTTGAAGAGATATCTATTTTTCTAATAGCCTAGCAGAAGACAGTTTAAAAGTCTGATTTATCTCAGCCAGTGGAAGGGTCTATAGCCTTACACGCGCACGTACACACATGCAAACACACACACGCACGCACACACACTGTTCCTCTTAACCACAACTCTTATCTGTGTGTGGAGGGCTGCCGCTAATGCTGAAGATGGGCCTTCCGCCTGGTTTTGATATAGGATCCAGGCTAAAAATAGGCCATGAGTTGCCTTTTAATGGCCAGGCTTTCCAGTAATCTTGTTGGAGCTTTCTAGAGTGCTGGGAGCAAGCGGGAAGCTAGAGAGAGGGGCTTCGGTGCTCTTGGGCAAATCTCAAGTTTCTTCCAGCGTCACTAAACTCCTGGCCTGTTTCCAGTGCTTAAGATTTGCAAATTCCGTATTCCCTTAAGCCTCTTGTTGTTGAAATCTCTTTTGAGAAGTCTGGGCCTCATTTACAGTAGCATTGCTACTAGAAGGGATATAAGACTTGATAAAGAGGCTATCACTTTGCAGAAACCCCAGGAGACCTAAGGTTGCCCCTGGTCCTTCTATGAGAAGTGTAGGTTCTCCAGAAGCTAGGAAAAGCATGTGGCCCAAGGTTGCTTGGGCACCTGCAGAGACCAGGCAGCTGCCAATCCAGCAGCCTCTTCCCTGGATCCCCTTCTCCTCTGTAGATGGGATCTGGGACTGCTAGAGGTTCTAAGGGTACCAGACCCCAGGAGACTCCACCAGAATGGCAAGGCCCAGTGACGATGGCCTGGCTGGCTGAGTTCATCTCTTCTTCACCTCCCAGCCACTCTGGATGAAGCTTCATCAGGATGTCCAGTGGTCCCATGGGCCATTGCTGCCCCACTCCCATACCCAGCCCCACACCACCAGTGGGCACACCACCAGTGGGCACTGACCACCATTGCCACTGCAAAACAGGGGTAGACAGGCCACAAGCAGACAGCACCCAGCTGAAGTGTTTCTAAAATTAAGAAAATTCTCTCCCATGAGACATTTTTTAATGACTTTGAGCCAGTCATAATTTTTCCAGATCATCACAGAGCTTCTTCCCAACATTTGTCTTACACTTGGTTAGCTTCACTCATTTGCATTACCTCCCTGGCATGGAAGGCTGTGTGTGTGCATGCACATGCTTGTGTGTACACATATGTGTGAACACTGGTGTCCCTCCTGCTGAGATGTGGCTCCAGGAGTCACTAGAAGAAGCAAACACAACTGGGAAACTGCACACAGATTGTGAGCGCTCCACACCTCCCCATACAGATGCCAGACACCTACTGGTGTCTAAACCTCAAAGCAGGTTCCGACTGTGTCCACATAAAAGAGTGACTTTAACATAACGGAGTTAGAGACTCAGGCCCCAGAGGATGCTTGGCCCTGTGATTTATTGTCACTACAAACCAATGATCAGAAAAGGGAAGCTGGGAAGTGGGTTTTACTGACATGGGAGCACAGACAGTTCTCTGTCTCACAGGACTGGTCCCCATCCCTGTTCTTAGAGAGCAGGATTGGCTTCCCTTTGACCTTCTGCCATCCTCTTAATCGCTGAGGGAGAATCTCCACACACTTCCTCACCACTCCTCAGCCCCAGCCCCAAGACTGTGGGGAAGAGCCCACCGGTTCAGCCCTTTGTTGAGACCCCGCGACTTTCCTCAGAGCAAGGAGGCTCAAGATTGAAGCTTCTCACTGCCAACGCTGGAGGGCTTTCTTCACTCTTCCAGCTCTACCCTGGGGTAATAGCTGATAAGGAAGATTATTTGAGTATTTACTATGAGCCAAGCTCTGTGCTACATGATTTAAGTGTAGTATTTCCTTTCACCCTCATAACTACCCGGTGAAGCATCATCATGCTCATCGTTACTGTCACTGTACGTGGGGGGAAACTGAGGCTTGGTGAAACAATTTGCTCAGGGTACCGCAACCAGGAAGCAAAGAGGCAAGATTCTAACTGAGACCTTTCTCTTAATCAGTGTGTCCTCCACCTAAATCAGGCTAAAGGACATGTCTTTCTATGGTTTGGCAACCCCAAGATGCAGAATACAAAACACACAGAGGGTACCAAAGAGGTTTGTCTGAGGCCATACCATACATAGGCTCAGGCAAGTGGGGTCATGTTGAGGTTGGGCACAGTTACACCAAAGCATAGTAAGCATAACCAAGCACTTCCTAAATCTAAAGACTCTGATATTTGATCCAGATGCTCATTTTCTCTCACTGAATAATTGCCGTGTAGACTTTGACTGGCACTACCATAACCATCCAGCCAAATCCACTCCTGGACCTCATCAGAGGACAGACAAATCTGTTCCTATTTCCAGAGGGAGCTATCACAGCAGGACCTTCCATTTATGGGTCCGGAGATGCATAACTGACAACAGTAAGAGAAAGTCCTGATCTTGCTAAAGCCCCATCAGTGTCTATGAGGGTCAAATGCTGATCTTAGACCTATTTTACCAATGAGGAAACTGAAGCTCAGAATGTCCAGGTAGCTTGGCACGGGTCGCACAGCCACTAGACAGCTGGTCTGGTATTGGAGGTCCAGTCTGCCCGCTCACAGGGCAGTGATGCAGTGGCGCATCCAGCGGCTGACAGCACACTGCTCCAAAGAGAAGGGCACCACACAGCCCACCAGGAAATGGGCTGGCATTGAGACAAGACCATTTTGAATGAGCCCCACGTTTCAGGTTAATGTGCTCTTTCTCACAAATCAATGATTTTAGATCAACCTGGAATCACTTAGGGGTTTTGTTTTGTTCCAGGCTTTTGACCCATTAACCTCTTCTCTACATAAAGGACAGAGCCACATTCCCAACAGCTCCATTGCTTGCCAATACTCAGTTCAAAATGGAGATTTGGCTTATAAATATAGCCTAAGATGAAAGAAGCATTTAAACCTAGATGTTCTCATTATATTTTAAAGAGTACTAAAGAGTACAGCAAATGCATAGTTTGACCTTAGCCCTATCTAAGCCTTCAAAAAAAAAAAAAAAACTAAACTAATGCTTCTGAGACAACCATCTTGGGCCCTCCATGCTAATTTTCCATCCTTCTTAAATGTGGATCCCCGTGACCATCTCCTGCCATCTAAGGAAGCTTCATGCACTTCAACATGTCCACAAGTGGATTTATTACCCAAGCAAGACCACATTGTTTTCACATCCTCCAAATGGATGTTGACTGTTTTTCCTTTCTGATCTGATTGTCCTAATGAGTAAATTAAATATCCCTACCTC